GGAGGGGGGCCGCGCTGGCTGGCTCCGTCCGAGGCGGCTTGGGAGCCGGCCCTGCCCGGCCCTGTTGCAAGAGCCGATGGGAAATGGAGTCTCGGGCACGGCCCGCCTACTTATTTGTTACGGAAGAGAGAACTCTATTTCCCAGAAGGAGTCGCGGAGGGGATGGCCTTAAGAGCGCCTGCCGAGAGACATGATGGGACGGAGAGTCCTCTCATTCCGCACCCCTCTACTGCCGGCCGGGTTCAGGACTATAAGCTCCAGCGTGCCTATGACATGAAGCGAGGGAACGCGGGAAATGGAGTTCTAATCTGCATAGTGCCAAGCACAGATCTGATAGAGAGGACTCCATTTCCCAGCATTCCTCGCGCGGACGTGGCCAGCCTATCGCACAAGAGGCAAGGGGAGGGCTAAAGGGGAAAGATTTGAGTTTGGCTCCTCCCAACCAGAGCAGGAAAAGGAATCATGAGGTGCAATAGAGAAGCGGTGCAAACGCTCAGCCACCTGAAAAAAGCCAAGAGACTTAACCTTGTGCCCATCGCGATTTCTTATCCATTATCTCACTCAAAGGGATCCGCCCTGAGGCCTATCAGGCTGTGTCGCGATGCATGAAGGGAGACGAGTTGCGGTGCTTCGGCACTGCTTTTCCCGAAGTGCTTTGCGCGGACCTCGTGACTCGATTGGGGTGCGGACTACGATGGGCGGACTACGGCTCCCATAGTGCTTTGCGAACAGAAAAGCCGTTGTTACGGGAAGGGAACGAGGCCGCCGAAGCATCGAGGAGCCGCGAAACCCTTCGCCCCCGCCACGGCAGGCGGGAACCGCGATGTCCAACGAAGCGGACGGTGCCCCAGGTTTAGAAACCAGCCAGGAGAGCTCTTCTGAGAACGGCGGCCTTCAGGGCATGCAGTGCGGCCCAGGTACGCTTCCCATCGTGCACCGCTCTGCCCCCGAAAGGACTTCTGGAAGTTGTAGTTCGCACTGCTGGAGCAAAGGCATCTTGGAGTCTCTAGAGAGCAGAGTCTTCTGCTCTGCAGGTTCGCACGCCTTAACTCTGCTAACCTCAGTGGCTCAGGCACCAAAGCTTCCTAAGCAAGCGGTCTTTTTTTCCCACGATCGTTTGCCTGGAGGATCAATGGCAGTGAGGCATGTTATATATTTGCATTTTTAAAACATTTGTCTTTCCCCCAAACTGAAGGCGGTGCAATATAGCCTTTCCTCGATTTATCTCCAGAGAACCCAGTGAAGTTGGGCTGTTAGATCAACCACTACATTTCATAGAGGTGTAGGAATTTAATTTAATTTAATCCAGGTCTTTCTGGTTTTCATTCTAACAAAGTGTTTCTCAACCTTGGTCACTTTAAGAAGTGTGGACTTCAACTCCCAGAATTCCCCTGGATGTGTGGGAGTCCACACATCTTAAAGTGGCCAAGGTTGAGAAGCACTGTTTAGAGCCTGCCTAGCTCTGTGGCTGCTCTTCTGAACTATGTAGTAATCAGTATTTCCCAAATACTTGAGCCCATAGGCAGAACTTGGGGAGCTCCTGGTGAAGTTTGTGAGGAGCTGATAGCCTTTTCAAAGCTCATTATTAGCCACCTGACATAAGGCAAATTTAGCTAGTCTACAACCAGTAGGGCTGAGGTGGCTGACTTACATAATCTGCATGGAAGACAGAACACCTTCCCCAAATGGCTGCAGTGATTTAAAATAGAAGCAGTCATGAAAGAGAGGGAGAACGTCCTACATTTCACATCGTTTTGAAGAACACATGAGCATAAAGGGACTGAAATAGAAATTCTTGCAGTCCTGTTGTTGGTGCAGTAACCATCTTCCCCCCCCCCCCACCCCACAGTTAGGAAGAAGTAGCAAATTAGGAATGAATTACTTAGTGAGATCTCATGACCTACGTTTTGCTTGCATTTATCTGCGCTAGTCTTTCTTACTTTATTTTATAGTTCAATTTTAATTTCATTACTAGCCACTTTGCAGATTGTGATAATACAGTATGAATAGCCACATGAGGAGACTCTTAAAACAGCACTTCTGCTGTCATCTTCCAAATATTGGAAGTTGACCAAGCTAAAAGATGTTTTGACACTTGTCTCTTGGTGCTGTTAAAACCTGAACTAGCCAAGAAAGAAAATGGGAAAAAATGCAAATAGCTGAAATTGGCACACATCTTGAACCAACATAAGTCAGAGATGAAAATATGTGTTTATTGCAAATCTGGAAGGCCTGAATTTCATTCTGGAATAAGCAGGAATGACCGAACATAACAGAATAATATCTATGTTCCTTGTTCCCTTTGGGATTTTTTAAAAAATAAAACTTGAAGCTGTAGTCTTCCCCAAGCGATGATTCATCTCAAAGCAATGACTCTGGGTGATGTATTAGGATAATATTGAGATTAGACGCCCCATATAGGAATTTGGGGATATAATTCCAGCATTTCTGGAGAACATGATTTTGGGGAAGGCAGCTCCATATGGTAAGCCCTATTGAGCACTGTATTTATTTGATTTCTCTCCCGCCTTCTATTTTATCAAACTATTTATGCTCTCACCTCCTATTTTCCTTACAACAACAGCCCTGTGAGGTGGGTTGGGCTAAGAGAGAGGGATTGGCCCAAAGTCACCAACCCGGCTTCCACGCCTAAAGAAGGACTGGGACTCACTGTCTCCCGGTTTCTAGCCCAGCACCTTAACTGCTATACTGCACCAACTCCCAGTTTGTAGGATTCATATTTCAGTAGATTTATTGGGATTACCAAATTGTTGCAAAGAACATTTGCATGGAGTTCACTTCCTGAAACAACTGCTTCCCTGAAACGCAGTCCCCCCCCCAGTAAACAGCTATATACAAAAAGGAACGTGGGCTTTTCTTCCGAGGAAGGAGAGGGAGCCTATATTTGCCATGCCACTAATGAGGGAGAGGTGGAAGGGGACTGAGGCTATGGTTAGTTAAGAAACCAAGGTATTGTGCAAACTCAGAAAATGAGGGGATTTAGTAACCAGGTTATGTGTGTGATAAAATCCAGCCCACATTTGGTGCAAAGTAAAAGCTGGATGGGTTGTGTCCTGCTTCCTGATACTATTCCAGTAAAAACAACTCTAGGCTACCGTGATATGGCGCATTTCTGGAAACTGGTTGCATTGACCTCTGAGCTGGTACATGACTAGCGATATATAATGGGTGGGGAATTAGTTCCCGGCTTCCGATGTCTGGAAGGCTACACGTAGCCTCTCATGTGTGAGTCAGTCAGGGGAATTCCTTGTATGTCCTCCATTATTGCGGGGAGAGGAGCCAAAGCTTTAGAGCAGTGCTTTTCAAACTTGGGAACTTTAAGGTGTGTGGACTCCAACTCCCAGAATTCCCTAGCCAGAGTTGAAGTCCACAAATCTTAAAGTTCCCAAGTTTGAAAAACACTCCTTTAGGGCAAAGATCCCAGGTGGGTTGTTTCCCCCCCCCCCCATGTGGAAGATCATCGCTGGCATTGCACAATCTTCTAATCAGCAATGTGGTTTGTGGTTGAGCACATTGTACAAACTTGCTATTAACCTTCATTCAGCAAACCGTAGCTTAGCGTGTTAAGTGAATGCAGCCACTGTGAAATCTCTCTCAACCACTGTTGACAGGGAGAATCGATCCTCCCCACCCTTCCACCTTGGCAAATCAGTTTCTCTCATTCAGGTGATCCATAAGCCCGTTCAGGGAGGGTTTGTCTCAACCTGGGGGGGGGGCTGGGGCGGTGCTCCTGTGTGGGATCCACTAGGGGGCACTTGGAGCACTTGAAAGACGACTGCTTTCTACCTACACATGTGCGCATGTAGCCTGCTTCTTAAGGCAAGGTCAGTTTGGGCAACCTGAAGCCCAAGGACCCTCTTTGTAGCCCACAGAACCCCCCTCTGACCACAATGGCTGAAAACCGACAACTGGAATAAGGCTCTCCAAAGCGAGTGCTGGGTTGAAAATGACCTACAGGGTGAATTTCGAGCCCCTGCTAGACTTGACCCAAATCCACATCAGAATTGCCTGATTCCATCCAAGGCCCACCGAGCCCAGCAGTCGGTCCGAGGCATCTGGCTTCTGCTGTTGAAAACCGGTGGAGAACACGCTATCAACCCCAGCCAGTCAAGCAAACGGTCATCACCCAGTGGCCCTGGTTCCTTCATGGTTCATGAAGCTTATGAGTTAGGCTACAGTGTTGATCGCCTCCTCGTACTCTTTCTTCTAATAATTATAGAGCTAAACAGCTTTTGGACACGAAGGTAGCATTTTGCTCTCCTTTGTGTATATATACAGTATATGTCTACGTCAGCCTCTCCTAATTTGGCACACAACAGATTTGTTGTTCAGGGTAAGTTCCAGACTTCCCAGCTGAGAGTTGCAGGCCCAACTTGTTGGGGTGCTAGGTGGGGGAAAGTCGGTGTAGCCTTTACGATAGTATTGGCATTATGCAAAACACTATTTCCTGACGTTAAATTTTCTTTGCTAATCAACCTCCTGAGATGAACTCCACACACGGTACTAGGATCTAGTATAATTAGCAAACCGGGTGCGTTTGTGTCTGATCGACAATTACTGTAGTCTAAAAAGCTCACCCACTTGCCCAAACAAGTTTTGCTTTGGAACAGGACTATATCTGAATCAGAGCCTGGCTCTCTCAAACCATTTTTTAAAAATTCTTTCATCTCTGGAATTATGGGACCCAGCATATTTCTGCACCTGTGCAAAATACGCCTCTCTGCGCAGAATGGAAAAAGCACAACCTCTCCCAACACATCTGGATTTAGGAGTCAGTCGTCCAGGTGTTCTCCAGTCTGTTTGCCCCATAAATGTGAACCAGGCAGTTTGGACAGGCACTGGGCAATCCAACCAGGAAAAGGTTGATTTCTACCCCAGGCTGATAGCTACCCTAGTGGTGGACAGTCTCCTGGGAGATCAAAAGTCAAGAGACAAAGAAGATCTAGGTGGAAATACGGTCTTTCTTAGAGCGCCGATAAAACAATAAGCAGGGGAAAGAGAACTTTTAGACATACTGAACCCTGGAGCTGCACACCATTAATGTTTCCAACCAGTTAATGAATCGGTGCTAGCCAATCATATCTGAGCTTGGAAGCTAAAAAGAATCAGGCCTGTTTGTACTTGGACTGGAGACCAGGAATCCTAAGGCTGTTGGCCAGATTGGGACGTTGGAAAAAATAATCCTCTAAGTCAGGACTGTAGTGACTCACTTCCATGCTGTTACCAGCAAAATTTTACAGATGTGTCCGTACAGTAAACAGAAGTTGAGTTCAACTCAAGGGGATCTTTATTTTTTTTTAATCCGCTGCCATTATAGTCTGATTCTGAACATCTTTTCTAACTGTTAACTTTTTCTTTGAACTGCCTACGTGCCTCTTTCTTTAGCATCAGTTTGTGGCAGGTGGTTAGATTATCCTCATTCCACAAAATACTTTGCCTGATGTATTATTTATCTGATAAGTGATCTAGAGCAGGGTTGGGCAAAGTGTTTTGCAAAATGTTTGGGTACTATGGCCTAAAAGAAGTTTGAAATCCCCTGATCTAGAGGACGGCATAGAAGGGAGTGAATCAGAGCAGGGAAGCCTGGCTTGGGGGCCAGTGAATGGGAGAAGGGACTAGAAAGGTCTTGGTCTACGTTCAC